CCAAGGGGCTTGGAGCTTCTTTATACAACCAACAATAAGGAACCATGTATCGATTCTGTAGCCCATTTAATCTATACATCCTTACTTTTACCCCTTTATATTTATTAGTCGCTAGCTTTTACACATGACTTTATCCGCGTGACCACGATATCTTCACCAAGACAAAAAGTAGCCTATAGCTTTCTCCATTCCGTATAGTACTTGTGTAGCAAATTTCATACATTCATGTATAAAATTACAGGGTACATAGGCATAACACCCTAATCCCCAAGTGCGTTACTGTTCATGTCTATAGGCAACTGTACCACTTTTCATTAAGAGGGCCGTCAACTTGTTTGCCATTCTAAGTTGCACAAAAAAAATAATGTCTGCATAATGGCTGTAGACGATGATTACCTCTTCAATCAGACGGGCATCAGCTCATTTACCATTCCAATTGGCGTACAAATACATTCGAATATCTAAAAATATTAATTCAAGTAAAAATACGAATTTTTATATCATTTAATTGTGTATTACTCTTTATTTAAGTGTTATTATAATAGATAGATTCTAAGTATTCGAAGTATTAAGAATGAAAGTAGATGGCTATAAGAGGAGACGAAGACCTAAAAAGACATGGATGGATTGTGTAAGGGACAATATGGCCAGAATGGGAGTGGATGCGGAAATGACTGGGAATAGAAAAGAATGGAAGAGGAAAACATATTACGCCGACCCCAAATGATAGTTGGGATAAGGGTAGGAAGATGATGCTATAATAGATAGATTCTAGACATTACAAAATATATAAATAGAGATATTATTTACTGGAGTCTAATTGAATTAGCTGGGCGCTGGATAAGTGAGCGAGCAAAAGGGCACAGAGAACAGTTACACGCACCGATTTCATTCAACTTTTCCTGTTACTTTTGTTCATTCAATAAAACCCAATATAAATCGAGGCAACATTCTCATTAATGGAATTTTCAATAAAATTTCAAGTATTTCTTGATTTGTTAAAGTTTTTTTTTTTACCTTTATAATAAATATCTAAATAGAAATAAGTACAAATAAATTTGACTATCCATAATGCATGACAAAGCTCATCAATTTTGAATGCATTGTATAAATACTAATTTGTGTGAAAACACAGATGAATAACTTAATTAGTAAATATTAGTTATTGAATAACTTAAAAAATGGAGGTTCCCAATTTAAGTATATTTTTGTATGTTTGTTACCTCTTAACTCCATTATTTATATATTCGATTTGGAAAATTCTTGTCCATCTCAAAATATATTCTTTCAGATTGGTTTTAAAGATAGATAATTTATTTGCACACAAATTATAACAGACACAAATATACATAAAAAGTGAAATAAGAGAAATTATAAAAAAAAATACATACATTTTAATTAATTTGGCTCAGATATTTAATTTTTTTAATCAAATTTAACTAGTTTTGCCAGAAGTAAAGTTGGTTTTATTGGGAACAATCCTAAATTATAATTAAAACTAGTTCCTGAACTAGTAAAAATAAATTACGTCTAATAAATGTCTTGTATATAGATTTATATGAATAATATACTTATTCAATCAGACTAGATTTTAGAAGTAGCAGACTATACCACTTCTAGACAAAACATCAAGATAAAACATATACCAGATATTAAGTTAGACTTCATAAAACAACTGTGAAATTTACATCCAATTCGGTGTAGCAGTTTTTCTGTGATATCAAAGCAAACATACATAGACAGTATTTCTCAAAATTATTAGTTTAAGCGTCTATTGCTCTTATTAAAACCCCTTATATTATTTTTTCTTAAACATCTCCCATGTACAGATATCGTTTAGTTACATTTTTATTATATTATTAAAATAAGCAGTGACAGGAAGCATAAGTCAATTACTACCAGACTCCAATAAACGTAGTGTTACAATTGATGGCCATGAATTCATTTACAACATCTAAAAATCCAATGGTAATATCTAAAAATGAGATTAAAAAGAGCGTTTCAACGCAAAATAATTTTGATTTATCACCCGATTCAAAAAGCAATTTAACCGAGATCAGACAAGAAAATCGATTGTTGTCCTTTCGAAAGAAAAAATCATTTATTTCAAATAAAGACACTAAAGGTCATATTATCATAATCATATCAGCCGTTAACGATCCACTGTTGAACTTGGTTTTGCCAATAGTTGTCAAGCTTGGCAGGCGAGTTGGCAACCGTGATGTTTTAAGAGGGACGCTGCAACCCAACTCTCGACGTTAAGTTTCCTTAGTCGATTTTTATGACGGACAAAAAGAAGGACGGAAAAGGAAGGCCATGTACATTATATAAAAAAAAAGTAAATATTTATCAATTTTTATTATAATTGTACTATGGTATCAAAACAGAATTATATTCATGAGAACGTTAAATAGATTATTATGTACGGCCTCTATGGTTATAAATTGTTCACGATTATGATGGATAAACCAACAATCATTGCTCAATCATACTTAGGATCTCCCTAAATTTGGTCCGGTAATGCGGGACTTCTAGGTACGCTTTGTTGAGCTGCAAAGTTTGTCCCTATCGAATTATTACTTGCCTTTAGTGAATTTGGTAATAATATTGTGAATATTATGGAACTTAATAGTCGAGGGATGAGCAGCAGCGTCCCTTTTAAAACATCATCAAAACCTAATTGCGGTTGCAACTACTGGTAAATCCCTCCAATAGAGGGAGGCCCATATTTAAATATGGACAGTTAACGTCTGATATGATGACGATGATTGTGGATATTTGATTGATATTAGCCAGCTTTAAATCGAAATTGTAAAAATAATTAAATTTTATTTAAGAGAAAATATACACTATAGGTTAGATCGTTAGAAATACAGTATGGTACAGTAGTTTTTGTATTGTGCCGAAACAAACAGACAGATAGACAAATTTTATAAAAAAATATTGTTTTGACTTCTATTACTTTTATTAAGACTCTTTATATAATTATTTTCTTCAATATTTCCCATGTAAAAACATTATGTAGTTACGACTTTATTATATTATTATGAAGTAATTGCCGCCTCAGTTTTCTCAAAATAAATAAAGTTAAAAAATCAAATTGATCCAGCAACTGTAAACTACTGATACTCACTTGTTTTTATATTTATAGCACAGTATATTTACATGACATAACAAATATAGATATAGATCTAGTATTATTATAATAAAAGAAAAAAGGTAGATCGATACAAGCGCACCGAAAATGAAACCTTGGCGATTACGCTAAATTTGCGCCTGTATAACATTTACATAAACTTCCGCGCAAGTGACAAATTCTAGCCATTTCATCCATCTCTCTTAGATTATTTGGCAATGTAATGAAATGTATTAAAAAAATCCTATATGTGCCAACGCTTCGTTCGAAATATTTTTTTACTTATTTTCTAAGCGGGTAACGCATCATATTTAATTAAAAAAATTAACTGTCTGCTTAAGTAACTCTGTCCCACTTATGTTTCTACCGCAAAGCAGCTATGTTTGCATGGCTGTGTTTCAATTTAAAATATGAGATATAGTAAAAAAATTGCAAGACACGCAGGCATAAAACCTTAGGTCTCAGGAATGTCAACGCATAAGGGGTATCATAAATATAACAGTGTATTTACTCAAATTTTAAATACACTACCAGGAGTTAACGCGATGTTTGCAGGTAAATACCTTCTTCTTTTTTGCCGACGTTTCGTGTATTTACTCTCTATAATAAACAAGTTGTTCATGTATTTAAACGGCGATCACCATTTCCATTAGATGGGCCGTCAGTTTGTTTATCATTCTAGTTATCATAAATAAATCATTTATAAAAAAAAAATACAATAAAGAATACACTTATATATAGGGGAATAATAATTGTGAGTACAATGACCGGTTCTTAGAAAAATAACCGATGTTATCTGACACTAGTAATCTCTTCTATATTAAAACGTCATCTAAAGTTTTTCCATGGCACTTTCCCTTAACGTCGTGTTACATGGAATATCTTTTAACGCCCTCTACCGAGAAAATTGTTTAAATAAAAACAGAGTTTTTATGCACACTTATAGCGTCATCTACAATTTCCTTATGAAATTTTTCCCTTAGCGACCTTCTCCCTAACAAAAGTTTGAAACCGCCATCTATCAGACACCGCAGGTAATAAATGCCGCAGGTATTTATTATTATGTTGGTACTGAAAGTTTGCCTACTGAAGTGATTAAAGAATATATTAAGATTAAGTTTACATGTATATCTGTTTGGTTTATATTTAGAAAATAATGCAGTGATTATCTTAACTATTCTAGAATTATTATAGTTAAAGTTATTGAAAAAAAATACATTGCATTTCTTTTTTCGATATAAATACTTTTTTACATATTAAGTAGGTAGGTACTTTGTAACGATTATAACTTACTTTCTTCACAAATACCAAGACTCTTATTAATAAATATATTTTATGTCTAAGAGCATCCTTGAGTGAACAATCTCTATTTATATATAGTTTGTAAATGAAACTTGAGACGGAGTCAACTGTTCACATGTCTTAAAAGTTGAAAACACATTAGCTTATTAAGAAATAAAATGCATAGTGGTGAAATAACATCCTATAATATAATATCATGTAAATTACTGAGTAACGATTTATCATTTATTTTTTCACATAATCCCTTCTATACGCAGAATGTAGATCACTTTTGATTGAAGATTTTTATTCGATTCAAGTTTCGTTTATTAATTAAAACAGCATCTTAAATCCGTACTCAAGGAGCTCTCACGCTTAAGATCGGTTTATTAATATGAGTCTTAATAACAATTTCCTACACTTTCTTACATAATAGAAGATACTTTCATGTAAATATATAATTGATAAAAATAAGACCTGAAAAATCTTAAATTTCTTCTATTTATATGGATGAACATTCTTGTCCATATCATAATAAATAACGTATGGCAGTATCTTCACTAATCTTAACCTATTGTTTCAGATGTACAAAGTGTTTGATGTGATATTATATGTGGGATTCAGTCTCAGTTAGCGCCCTGCCCCCAATGACCCGGCTTCCGACATGCCTCAGTCCCCTTCACCTCGTCTACGTCATTACAGGTCCCCGACAACAACCAAGCATGAATAGAGTACACCTAACGCTTCCCTAGGCTGCACCTCTAATCCTCGTAGTCCTAGTAACTATATGTACTAACAACTGAACGACATTGTTTTATTAATATATACAAATTTAATTTCTACTATTAGAGATTACAGGAAAACATGTATTAATAAACGACAGAAAATTTTGAGTCTCCATTCTGTGCATCCAACTTTCAAGCTAGTATGGCAGACTCAATTTTTTCGTCATATTACTTTTTTTTTAAAATAAATATATGTTCTAAAACAATGTCGAAAGCATAATCTTTTATAATTATTTTAAATGTAATCGGAGTGTAAATTGAATATTTACTCACCGACATTGATTAATTTATTCTTTGGTTTTATTGTACACTTTTTCTTTTTTTTTTATATAAAAAGCATGCTTCCACTAAATAAATATTTAAACATATAATCTATATAAAAATCACGCAATTAGCAACAAGCATATTAACACGAAAATAACACTATTCACTAATGTAGGATATTATTTTATAAGTAAATTATAGACTAAGTTTGCACAGTAGTCTAATTTGTAGAATAGGTAGTAAAATTGTCTTAGTATTATAATCAAAGGGAAATAATGACGATTCCTTGTAGATTCTAACGTTTGTGCTCAAGTAAAAATAATAGTCACGTTCAGCGACTCTAGTAGATATTTAGGTAGTAATGTTATTCAAACATTTTAATGAATATTGATGTTAGTTTATAATAGGTTAAAGTATAATTTTATAACGCTGTATTAGTAATGTACATTGAGGCATTAGTATATTTATAAGAGAATATTCTTTTTACTTTTGCCGTGTGGTCCCGGCATAGGATGGGCCGCCCTTTCCTTTCCCGTGGGTGTCGTAACAGGCAACTAAGAGAAATTAATGGTCGAGGGATGAGCAGCTGCATCCCTTTTTAAAACATCACCAAAGCCTAACTGCAGTTGCCAACTGGCCTGCAAATCGTGCTAACTACTGGCAAAACCTCCCAAAGGGGAGGCTTATGTTCAGCAGTGGACAGTCAACGGCTGATATGATGATGATGGTGATTGTTTTTGCCAATATTATTAATTTTTTTTTAAATATATCTTAAAAATTTTAAGTCTCCTATAATACGTGTGGCATTACCATCTACAGGAACTGAATTTTTTTTTGTCGTATTATTTCAATTTCATAATGATATTATACAGCATAATATCTATCGTAAAATAAAGGATACCCTGTTTATTATAAGAGACTAAACCATAAATATCTGGTGGTACAATCATGAATACCCCCACTCAAGTTAGAGAAATTCTTTTGTAAATCGAATTTGAGATCTCGTTCAAAACCACGTGCCTACTTATAGCACTGCAGAATTATCAAAACAAATATTATGATCGAATTGCGAGTTATGTTTATTACATTTTGTTTATAATTTTATTTTAGCGTAGATCAATAACGTCCAGATAAAGTGTCTCTACAAATATTTAGAATAAAAACAGCTCAACTTTTTTTAAATGCCGCTTTTAAAATTACATTCATTTCTTATTAATAACTTATTTATCAAAACTTCATATTTGCCATATCATCGATATTACATTTACAGACTTTTGTATACCATAACAAGATATGAAATGTGTGTACATTCAGTATGAGAAAATAAAGCATTATCCAACAGTTTCTGAAATATTGAGTCGACACTCCATCTGGATATATGATCTACGGTTACACTGTATTAATATTGTGTATAAATTTAATTCCTTTGTGAATATATAATTTCATTGTGAGAGAACACATTCATATTTCCACGTCAGAGAACAGCGGCTCGTCCCTGAATCCTCGAACGTTTAGGGTGCAATTCGTTCATCCGAACAGCCGGTAGATAGGCTTTATCAACAAAACATCATGCGCTGCTTGACGACACAATAACGCCGCCCGCAATACCAATCATACGTAGTATCGACTCATAAATGTATATATTGTGACAAAGCTGTAACCGCCTCCGATAAACTTATCTGACAATTTTGGCGACACAAGGCTTCAAATTTCCCAAGCGAATGATTGAATAGTAAATATTGTTTCATTCATTACTTATTAATAAATATAATAAAACATATTCACGATTGTAATTCTAGATGATTCAATCTCCAGTCAGATCCAATCAGAGTCATAAAACAATTTTGTCTTTATGATGAGCTCAACTACAGCTCGTGGCCACATTTCGTCCAACATATTAGAATTTTACGTGGAATCGAGCACACTTACCACCACCTCTCAGATTAATTTAATTTTATAACGGCTAATTACTAATCTTTTTAGAAAATAGTTTATAATAGAAAATAATTTCCATTTAGTTGGAAATTGCTACTAAAATGTATCAAGTATTAGTAATCAATTAGCAATTTTTTGGACAAATTGTTTAATAATAATACTACACTTGTCAATAAGTACGGGAGCGGTTATTACTTTGTATCACACTGTTAGTTCAGTTATCAGGCCAGTGATGCGAATACAAGGGCGCGATATGTAACTTCACGGTTATTCATATCATTGTACATTGAGTTAGCTGCATATCGTTAACATGTATCCCGATACAAATTTTCAAAACAACAAAGCGTGAGTACAGAGTAACTGTACAAAAACTAAATGTGAAACAATTATATCAGATTCTAATACCTTTTTAATATTCAACAGGACAATGACCGCAATATGTTTCGTTTGCAACCTCCCGATACTGTCTCATCAAGTGGGACTGGTGTGGGCTGGGGGCAACGGTTGGGACGAACTGACGAGGTCCACGTTAGAAGAGTCGACCCTCAGACAAAGACTTGGCAGCCGAAGAGACTCCGCTGCACAAGTTTCTTGCTTATCCCCGCCCGAGCCCGACGCCGATCAACCAAGGGGTATGCCTATGTAATCAATTTCAATAAATTTCATCGTACTGAATCTCTATAATAAACAAAATATTTTTATAATTGATAGGATAATCGAAATACAGTGATAGTATATATGAAACTGAACCACTTCCCCGAAAAAATAGATTAGAAACCAAACAGTTACTTGATCTATCTAAAATAAAAAAAAAAAATTGCTTTCAAATTCCCATTTGTTTTATTTGCCTTGGATTATTTTTTTCAGTTTTTAATGTTTTAATTGCTGAGTTTTGAATTGTAATAACTTTTGCATTTCTCTGTGAGCAAGTATTATTAAATATAATTAAAATAAATTCCGTAAATAATTACTTTAATTTTACACAGAGAAGGCTGTTGTTGTTACAATTAAAATTATTTATTGTACCTATTCAAGAAATTTTAAGAAAATAACGCTAATTTTAACTTGAAAAAAAGCATAGAGCTGTGTGTCTACATTTGTTAGTTATATAAGTATAAATCAGTACGTAACACAATAATAACAAAATACTTATTTTATTCCTAGGAGGACCACGTCGCCGTCGTTCATCCTTGGCCCAACTCACAGACATCTTACGCGAGTGGGGTGGAGGTGGCAGTGGACCCCGTCGCCAAAGGGCCCCTCTATCTCGAAGAGAAACCCTAGCAGATCTGGCACGGTCCCTACCTTGGGCACGCCACGAACCTCCCCCTCGACGCAGACGTGATTCTTCTGCAGACTCTGGTATCAAATCCATGGCTTCCAAACGTCGAGACTCTAAAGCTGCACCACATGACTTTCGTGCCGATTTCCCTAATTTTTGGGAACGAAAAGATTCTACTACTATTTTACCAACACCAAGAGAACGGCGCATCAAAAGGCGCGGATCGGGTGATGATGATAAAGGACGTAGGGACTCTGTAGATGGGCATCGGCATCGACGTGACTCTATAGTTGCTCCCCCACCGCGAATAGTTGCAGCCCAAAGAAAACGGCGAGCATCACCACCTATTCCTGCTCCACCATCTTTCGTAGATGCCTCTTCAGATGCTGGTCCATCAAGCCAACCACCATGTGTAACTATAGTAGCAGTTCATGAACCAAGTCGATCAGATGGTGAATGCCAACCTATGACGATGCCTACAATCATAACATCCGCTGTAACGCCTTCACCTACGTCTCCTACTACACCCAGTAATGCTGCTCAAGCTGTACAGACATCTCAAAGCACTCAGTCAGCACAATCCACGCAAGCCACACCCGGTGGACGAACTCCACCTAATTTAGGTGGTCGTCGGGATTCCACAACACAGTGTGGAAGAGCAAGAAGAGACTCTCGTGCTGCAGCTAGTCCAGAAAGAAGACTAGGGAGGTTGCAACGTCAAGCTACAGCATTTGATGACCCAACCGGTCCACCAGGAACAAGACGTAGAGATTCTGGACCATCTTTAGGACCTGATGATGAAGGTAGGGCTAGAAGAGATTCTTTAAGTCCTGATTCAGCCGCACGTCCTAGAAGAGAGCGTTCACAATTAAGCCCAGATAGAGCAGGCGGTGGAGAGCTTAGCCCTTCAGCTGCTAGGCGGCGAGGTCGTCTAAGAAGACAAGCGTCATGTGCCAGAGTAGGTCGAGCTCGAAGTCCAGAGTCGAGTTCATGCTCGAGTCGTGATCCAAGTCCATGCGCTCGGCCACCCGAACGAACAATCATAAGACGTCAATCTACTACAGAAGAGATCTTGATTGCTCGTGGATTTAGAAGACAATCAACGACGGAAGAAATGATTCGTTGTCGTAATTTTAGGCGTCAAAGTTCCCAGAGTGATGACGCGTGTATGCGTGCACGTGGGCGTCGAGACTCTTCTACTCAAATACTAGATGGCACCATAGGCACCATGACTGTCGAGACAACCAGTACTTTTTTTGACTCCAGCACACAAACTGGTAAGATTTTCAAATGCATTTATTAAAAACATTTATTTACATTAAACTTAAAAACTGTAGTAGAGAATTATATCGTATAGTATAGTATAGGTAAATACTAGGTCTTAGTTATTATAAAAAAGTGCGAATCATCCTGAGATTTCTTTTCTTTGAAAGTTGTAATTAAAACGTATATACTGACAATATGTATAATGTATTATGTAGAAATGACTTTGTTTAAAAAAAGAATGAACATGATTTATCTAAATCATATTCATACATATTATTATATATACTTACAGTACGATACTATTACTTATTATAATAGTCTATTCCTGAGGAGATAACTTATTGCAATTGAAATTCCCTAACTAAAAATATTAAAATAACAATTCAGCATACTTTCTATTTTTTTTTTCATTCAGAAATTGAAATTATTTTATAGACGAATACATCTAGGCAGATTTCCTCTTAGTATCTGTCTACGCTAAAAATATCAACTAAGACGACGCGTATTTTATTTAGTAACAATAAGTAACCATAACAAGAAATAAGCAGCCCTTTTTAGGAGTTCTTCCCAACACAATATCCAAATTATCTCATGAACAAAATTGTAAAAATATTCCACAATATTTTTAGTACCAGCTCCAATCACTTTAAAATATAGTTTAAGTGGATAAAAATCAAATAATATAAAACGTGCTCATTAATATGGGATCTTATGAAGCTCAAAACTAATTAAAAAACCTCAAGACAAATAAGTAAGTAAAGCTAATATAATCATAAAAAATATCAATTACCTTAATTTGCTTAATTTAAACTTTGCTTCAATAAAGTCCATAATTAATAATAGTGAAGTACTTTTGAACTTTCTTTAATCGTGAAACCTAGTCTGTCAAATTCTACATTACATTAATTATCGAAAACAATCAAGCAATTTTTAATATTTCGAAATAATTATTTAAAATTTACTATTGTAGCACACATTTAGTGTACAATTTAAAATCGCAATTGAAAAAAAATTATTATATTTTCCTTTTGAAGTTTTCAAATAATTTTATATTCGAAATCTAATATTTTAATGATAGTTTTATATCTATCTGCTAACTATAAAACAATTAAATTTAGTGCGCTCTAAAAGCACTTTCAGAAGTATAGAAAATTGTCGAATTGTTTTTAAAAATGTGCAGATAATGAAGACGTAGCCAGACTTCGGTATGAACGATCTCAAAAACTGTAAACTCCGCCACTATTACACTACTCTATGACAATAGCCATTGCCACGTGCTCGGCATCCGCCCCTTTTCACCAGCCAATCGATTTACACGCAGCTTTCTCGTCTCCCTCTCACCGTGTACTGCTTTACCGATATAAGGGAGAGGGTCCCGGACGAGAGGATCGTAGAGAGGAACAAACAGTGGCGCCACGGCTCTGACGTTGGCCAGTCACGGGAGCTATTTTGGGCATTGCGCTCGGGAGCCTTTCGTGACATGAGATGAACGCGTTTTCCCGGCGCAGGCTGGCTCAGCCGCGCTTTGTCATCTGTTGCCAAACGCTGCCATGTTTACCAGAACAAAAGTGATGTGCCGTACACAACGAATAACCTCAATTAGTAATCCAACGAAAAATTAATATCGCGATAATATTGCCAACAACAACCGTTTCCAATGTAACGTTTACAACGAATTAAATTCACGAAATATATTGCACAAAACGAAAATGTCGTGCTTTTATCGTGTAAGACGATATTTATTGTGATTGTCTCCGATGTTATAGATGAAAACATATCTATTTTAATGACGTTCTAATACATATTTTATGTTTGAGTATATCTTTGTAATAAATAACAGCTAGTAAAATTGTGAATGTGTTAAAAGGAACAGTATAATGTGCATTTAAAGAACTATACAGCCTAAATAAAATAACGAACTAGAAATTCAAACACCAAAGTAATATAAGTTAATTTTAGCTATTTGTATAATTATTTATAGTGAATTGTTTATACAAAAAAAATCATACAGACGTCAGAATTTACGACGAATAGATTTTATAATTTAATATAGGCTCTCTGAAATAACTCTACGACTCGCCATGGTAAGTTATTCATAAACTATTTACCTGTTCCATTACTAAATAAAATTTTATACCATACGTGATAATATAAAATACAAATATGTATCACTTATTTCATTGTAAATTCCGTTTTCCAATTTCGCTTTTATATTTCAAACAATAAAGACTACATTTTACACCTGTAGTTATCATATTTTATCACTTAAGGTCAAAATGTCAAATTAAAGGTTAACCTCTGCCGCGAGTATTCCCTTAATCTCGTATAACTGTCTGTTACCATCAGATGGATCATCAGTTCGTTTTTTATTACAGATAATTGATGTATTTTATATTCTTAAATTATTATTTTGCACTGTGTGGTCCCGACGTAGAATGGGTCAACCCTTCCTTTCACGCGGATGTCTCAGGAGGCAACTAAGGGAGCTTATTAGTCCAATAATAGGCAGCAGAGTCCCTCTTGAAAAAGCACCAAAGCCTAACTGTGGTTGCCAACCCGACTGCCAATAATGGCAATTACTGACAAAACTCTTCTTATAGGGGAGGCCCATGTTTACCACTGGACAGTTACGGCTCACATGATAATATAATTTTGTACATTATAATGTTAACTAGATACATTGTAGCTAAATTAAAATATAAGCCTCAAGTTATCTCAATATAACTCGTCTAGAAGAAATTAAACGACAAACAACAGCTAAATTGAGGATCAACTTGCAGACCTTCCAAGTTCATCTTCAACATTATTCTTTTGCTTTCTATTTAAATTACTTCTCTTTTCAGTTAAGCAACATTTTAATATGGGCGTCTATTTTTGTGGGGATTTGTTATCTGTGATATATGTTGTTGATGAATTAGGTGTAGCTACCAGTATTCGCTATAACTTTTACCTGCCTTTCTTCGTATTATGGACAAGTAGTTCTATTGCTTTTTTTTTTCTAGGCATGAATTATTTAAAAATATTCATCTCCTTAAATAGTATAAACCTTTTTTCTTATTTTATTTTGTAGTTGATGCTCAGTATTTAGACGTTTACGAATATTTAAACTTGAAATTTTTGTTCTTATCATAATTTTTATTCTATCATATCTATTTAAAGTCATTCTAATATGCCTTTTTTTTCTTCTATTCATTTGTATTAGTAGGCATCTGAACGTTCACTCCCTTTCTGGCCATATCTGTCACACAGTCCGTCCATCTATTTTTATGTCTCTCTCTACCCTTAGGATCATCCATTATCATGCTTAATACTTTCCTCAAAATATTATCTTTATCTCTGCGGTTTACATGCCCCTATCAAGACAAACTATTAACTTTTCAACTTGACTATCATTGATAGCCTACTTTGAAACTTATACTTGGCGAGTAATATCCTCTTATAGAAAAGCCGTATACAACATATCATCAATATCGTTAATAAAATATAAAAATATATATGAGACATACAGTAAACTCTCCGATTATGTTCATAGAACTGAATTTTATTCAACTACTTATCAGTTCTCTATCTATGCCTGGCCTAATAGAAATCTAGCTTGAAGACAGACATATACGAGTATTTATAGTTCACGACCTTAATACGATTTGAATATAGGTAAAGATGTAATGAATGGACTTTATACTTCAAAATTATCTTCCTTTGAAACAAATGTTTAATTTTTATGAATGTAATTCTTAAAGTAACCTAATTTATAACGTCATTACCTAAATCTTATTATGTACCCCTTACGCTCAACTAATGTATCCCAGGGAATTTACTTATGACATTTTGAGGGACCCTGCTCTACATTCCCACACTTCCCTAAAGCATGTGCGTAGCTTTCGTGAACGCATTTTGGTCGCACACTCATTTGTCAAATGAAAGAACCCCAATTAGGCTCCAACTTAAATCTTGAGAGCATCCGTTGGGAAAAGCATATTTGGTAGCCAACTGGTAAACTTAAAAATCTTTTAAAAAGAACAACAAATAAGATCAAAATTAATAATACTTGTTGATCGATTCTCAATATACACGAATCTATAAACAAAAAAAAATAAAAATTTAAGCCGACAATAATAAAATACACAGTTCTGAATTGAAACCAAGCTGGCTCTAAAGCAACTTACTGCTGAATATGGCGTATGTATCCTTTATAAGTTGTTATATATCTTGTGTAACCTACTTCTTTTCAGCAATTCCTACAATAGATTTGCAATTGTCACTCTATCAAGTCAATGCGTTTATCTTCAGAGTTACCAATCAAGAGCAATTATTCTGTATTAATTTTGTTCTGTGAATACCCTAATTTCTAATTCTTACATGAATTGCATTCTGACGTTCTTAGATGTTCTTTGTCTAGTATATCATAACACAGTAATCTATCCCAGTTTGAGGATGTCCTAGGTCCAGGAATTTGATGTGATTATGTAGTACTTATTATTATTACATGCACCAAAATTTTAAGCATAGTTGTCTTTGTAGCTTGATGATGTAATTTTAACTGTGGCTAAATATGGCTTTTGATCAACTGTATTATTTTAATAAATAAATAGATAACAATATTTGTTTATAATTGTCAATTATTTAAAAATCTAATACCAAATATTTTTTATACCACTAAGGTGGCAAACAAACATACGGTCCACCTGATGGTAAGCCTATCAACAAATGCAATCCCAGGGATATACTTTGTTTTTCGTATTCAATGCAAAAATGTATCTTCTATTGACATATTTATTACAAATTAGAGCAAATTTTTTTATTCACGTAAATATTTCTTATTCGGACACAAATTTTCAGACCTGAACAGAATTTATGACCATCAATTATACTTTATATGGCTGGCGGTAACAATAAAGTGAAGAAGATTGTACCAATATTGTTTCCAAGGCCCGGTACATTAATACTATCTTGCGTAGTATACTTCCCTACGCTATAAAAATGATGAAAATACGTATTTACCACCCGCTTTAGGGCTTCTTATACGGTCACATTAATTATGCTCAGTTTCTATTACGTTCCTTCAATAATAAATATCTAAATCTATATTATGCTTCGTTTACTGCTATCATGAATTTGATGGTATGGAATAAACATGAAGGATGATATCATAAAATGAATTTTTTTTGAGCTGTATATTTAAAAGATATTGTCAATTACGATGTTATGTTTCTTCTTATACAATCTTTATATTTTGATTATTTGATTGAGATATTTTGATTTCAAATACTGTAGTTAAACTTCTTTATATAACACGTTGCACGAGTCTCTGTTCTAAGATGGATCTAGAGCTTTCAAATCATCAGTACCGTGTAGTCCGAACATAGAATAGTCCACCCCTTTCTTTCCCGTTTGTGTCGTAAGAGGCGACTAAAGGAACTAAATGGTTGAAAGATGAGCAGCAACGTCCCTATTAAAACATCACCATAGCCTAACTGCAGTTGCCAATCCACCTGGCAAGGGTGGCAACTACTGACAAAACCCCCCAATAGGGAGCCCTATGTTCAGAAGTGAACACTTAATGACTGTTATGGTATGGTATATTCAAATGACTATTCGTATTAGGTTTGACTAGCATAATATCTTTTTTGTTTTTTTTCTTCTTACTATTAGCAATATAAAAGAAGCTAACAACACATTTGATGGTAAATTAATTGAAAATAACATCGTGAGTATCAAAGAATATTATTTAATCTTTCATGATATACTTGGTACTGTCATTAAATCTTTTTGAAATATATTTTCTTCTATGCCATCTAATATTTTTTTTATATCACAGAGATGGCACATCCGCCCGTCTGATAGTAGAAAAAAGAAAGAATTTAGTGCTTAATTTCACACTTAATTACAAAAATATTAAACAATAAACATGAAGGAAAAAAAGCACTAAAATGGTGTCACTTAGTTATATGCCACGTTCTTTTGAACATGACACTGATTTTCAGTGGCACCAATAGTAGTTAGTAATCTAGATGCTAAAGTATAGAGATGAAGTAGCATGTTATGGTAGAAAGTGGCCATTAAATTTCTAAGAACACAGTCCATTATAAGAGGATAAGATGTTTTCATTTAACACTATTTGTTGCCTGGATAATTACCAATCAGTGTATTGCCCTTTTGCGAAAAATATATATTCATTTTGTGCCTATAATTTTTCCTTGTTGATTTTTACATTTCTTCAAATGAAATGTCTTAGCGTAGCTACTTTAGTAGCTACGTCGTACTTTTTTCTGTGAAACGGCGTAGCGCCACTACGAAGTCGTAGCATCAATATGCTACAACAGTGGTGTATTAAATTATTTTTACTGTTTACAACTATGAAATTTTATATCAATTCGCAAAACAAGTATATCATCATCGTCATATCAAATGAAACTGTTCACTGTTAGACATAGGCTTCCCATATAGAGGGGTTTTGGTAGTAGTTGCCACGCTTAACAAGTGGCTTGGCAACCACAGTTAGGCTTTGATGATGTTTTCTGCTGCTGCCCATCCCTCGACCATTAAGTAACGAGTATATATTTAACGCAAAAGAAGATTGTGAACACACCCATAATCATGGATAATATTTCATAAATACCCTACAACATGTTTCATAGATAGCTTATAATGTAAATATTACCTGACTCCACATAGATTTTGCTTCATAATAAACAATTTTTCTCCGCAAAGAGAAACAACACAACTAGAATAGAAGAAGAAGTAACTAAAATCGTCACAAAATTAAAATGGGACCAATACGGGAGTAAACTATATTAATTTCAAAAACAAACAGTGTCAATTTTTAATACTAATATTTTTTTAAATCCTTAAGGAGTAGCCTTATATACATACCTAATAAAATAAATATGATAGTGAGTTTGTTTGTTTGCTGCCTCTTGGTATTTGAACGACTCAAGCAATCGTCACAAAATTTGACATATACTTGTTATTTGAGATGAAGAAGCATATAGGCTATTTTATATCCTAACCAATCAATATATCCCGAACAAACGAAGTCATAAATAAAGACTAGTATTCTATATACAAAAAAAGTATCATTACAACTTTATTTGTAGATATATATAAATAGAAGCAAGTAAATAAAGATTGATAGTTATTGAGTGATTAATGGGGAGAACTTTCGAGTAATAAATATGTGTAATGGATAGTCAATAGACTTTTATACCAGTATACATTAGATCTCGCAACTTTTTACCGTGAAATGATATCAAAGCTTGTCACTGTTTTGATGAGATTTTATATACAGGCTGTATTACAAATAATATAACAAATGCGCTACAATGCGTCAACAGTCGAAGATAGAACCTTTTTATGACTGATAACGTTCATGGACGATGCTGTCCTCGTTTTAACTCACGACCGTGTGGTCAAACGTCGAGTTATTAAAAAAAACCAAAACTCACAGATAATTCCCATAATGTATAACTCTGACCATTAAATGCAATGAAAATATGATTTTTTTTATTTTCCCATTGCACCATAGATGTTACTTTTTTTTTTAATAATAATCCACAATTTAAATTAGTATGTATATAATGCTAAACAAAATCTTTATTAGCACTATCCGTATCTTCGTGCGCATAACAAGGATTTATTTACAACTTTTATCCGCCTGATGGAAAGTGGCAACCTATTGACGTGAATAATACCATGGATAAAAATGCAATAAGAATTACTCTCGTGTTTATCCCATATTAATTTGTTTTTCAACCAACTTCAAAAAGAAGGAATTTCAAATATTAATAAAGATATATATCTTATATTAAGGATAAGGATTGATACCAAAATCAAAAGAAGAAAGTCATTCAAGTGCTAGAAATTTGTATACTCGTAGTACTTAATACAGTGTTTAGAAATAGGAAATTTTGTAACGATTGATAGGTATTTATTACTCTTTGAACAGATTTGAATGAAATTTGGACACGGATAGGTTATATCCTAATTTAGCATACAGAATACTTGTACTTTACTGATACTGATTCATGTAGGTAAAGCCGAGGAATGCATCGTTACAAACTTGTGCATTTATTATACAAATAGGATTTTATTAGATATAATAATCATATCCAAGAACATCTAATATGTACATATATACCATATATTTCTTTTTCTTTTGTAAAATAATGAAGAATTTATCGTACGTTACATTACATATTTCTACACTAAGCTTTCCGAGTAAAGAGGTTACTTTCGGACGTCCTAAAAGGAGCTGAGTGATGGAGTTAAGCCGGCTAATATCTGTTTTGGTTCACTAGCATCAAATGTACAGACAAAGGAACCTTCTGGCTATGTAACAAAGTACTTACTAGCTCAGATAATAGCTCAGATAATATATTACTATACTAGTATACTACCACTGACGTACGTAAGATTATTTTCCAGAGTGAGCTTGGCTCCTTAAAAAAGGCATATATGTACTATCAGATATATCTTTGTGAAACTTCGGTTAGATCCTGGAATGGCTACCATACAATTCTGAGGCACCCCCTCCCCCTTCTTAATACGCCTGTGTTAACCACTTACTTCATTCGTATATTTTGTCTCTGACTCCATTTTAAACCGTCTCTTAACCCAGTCAGTACTTAAATCTAAATTACATTATTTTACATAACATAATAATGAAAAAAGTTACATAGTACCAACACAGAAGTTATTATATTAAAAATAAAGTATACATATGAAACTTTAAACAATAAAATATAGAAATTATTCAAAAAATTTAAATCTCTTAAATTATAAAAATATAAATTCTTAATTAATAAAGGAATTCGGTTAAGAATTGACAACGTAATCGCATTAAGCCATCATTCTTTTTTTTTTCTTTTTAAAATTAATTGATAAAATTTTTTAAACTTATTTTGTACTAAAACATAACCCAATATCCGGTTTACGTTGTACGAAACTCTCACAGCTCTAAAGAGCTTAAAGTAATTCGACTCGCACTTTTTTATACTACAATCGTGGCGAACAAGCATATAGGCCATATGCTTGTCTGATTATTAATGTATAAAATTTTGGTTTATGTACGTCTTACCTTTTATAAATTTTATAAACTAGCAGTAACCGCAGATTTTACTTCTAGAATTGAAATAAAATGCGCCTTATCCATAATTGCAAAACATTATGATCTTCAAATGTGCCAAATGTTTTCGACTCCATTTACCTCTTTAAATGTGATTGGTTTACAAACATCCACTGTTAAAAATGTAGTTATAGTTATTGGCCCTAAGAAATATTCTAGCCTATCCTTACTATGCTTCGTATAGGGTTTTAGTTTTGCTTATGCTAGTGTAAACAATTCTTTATTCCCTTAGTTACCTCTAACACTATTCTAGGTTTGAAAAGGGGTCATAACATGAAGTATTTTTGCTACGTCACTACACTTTATTTATAAAGATACATATTTAGTACTTTTTTTTTAATATTTATTTATTTCACAGAGCCGTCCCCATTGTACGACAACAATCATTACCACGAGGAATGTCTTCGCTGCAACTCCTGCGGGTTGAATCTCACCGGCCCCAACCAGGTACGTATTGTGTTCTTAATTAATGTAGCCTTTAAAGCTTACGCAGATGAAGGAATTTTATCCACAATACAGAAAAAACATTCGAACATATAAAATTGAACTACCACGGATTCTCTTTACATTATTTCAGTACTTATTCGTTATCATACTTCTTGTATCTTCCATAAAAATATTGCATTAGATAATAAGACCACCTTATTGAATTGAAATAATTATGGATATTTTATTGTAATTGTTTTATTTTGTTATTTAATATATTACACTAATAAGATAGGTACTGTGATTTGTATACAGAAATTTAAAAGTTTCTTTTGTACAATTGTCTTCTGGTATATCATGACGTGGCCGTGTGGTCCCGGCATAGAATAAGCCACCCCTTCCTTTCCCATAAGTGTCAAAAGAAGTGACTAAGGGAGGGCGAAGGATGGGCAGCAGCGTTCCTCTTCAAAAAATCTCTAAAGCCTAACTGCGTTTGCCAATCCTGCCTGCTAACCGTGGCAACTACTGGCAAAACCCCCCAAAGAGAAGATTGTGTTCAGCGATGGACAGTTAAAGGTTAATAGGATGATGATGATGATATCATGACGGTAAAATTGTACGATATCATACTATGCTGTTTAATACAGCATATTATATAAGCGCCTATAGGAATGAACCGTTGCTAGCAATAATCTAGTCCTCTAACGTTTACTCGTAAACTCGTTGGATTGGTCTCTCAATTTCCGGTGAGTATTGAAAAATAAATTCCATTTAAACGATTAGAACACTGCATTTGGATTCACGCTTCCGATAAATGCGATTTATAAATGGTATCTAACGTTTTAAAGGAAATGAGATATAAATAACGTTAATCGGTGAACAAAATAAACTAACTTATAGTTTAACTAAACTAACTTGGAACTAACATAACAGTTTTTACTTAGAAATTATTAACCACAGTCCATTTGCAATTATTGCTCGATAATTGGAAATCACGTTAAAAATACAAAAAATCCCTTATTCTATTGCTTTTTTAATTACACTTATTTATTATATTTTTTTTTATTCTTGTACTAATTAGTTATGAAGTTATACATCCACAGCAATAATAGCCTCTAGAGCGTAGACTTCTCCTTAATTTTTTCAACAATAAATCACGTAACGTCCTATTTAATATTATAAACGTAACCATTTGTAAAGATATTTAGACAATTGTTACAAAAAACACACTTAAATTTCTAATAGAATTTCAATGAATTTTTTTACAAAGATCTTAGATCAGCTTGTAGGTTCCGACATAGAATAGGCCACCATTTCCTTTCCCATGGGTATTGTATGAGGCAACTAAGTTAGCTTATAATGTAGAGATGGACAGCTGCGTTCCTCTTAAAACTTCACTAAAAGCCAATCTACGCTTACCAACCCGCCGTGTGGAAACTACTGGTAAAACCCTTCTTATGGGGAAGACTATGCTCAGCACTGGACAGCTGATACTACAACAACAACAATATCCTACATCAACAAATGGGTATTTATTATAATACATGCAAAAAAAAAACAGATACCCATACAAAAATATATAACTAAAAATGCGGTCGAATTGACAACCTTATGTTTATGCCATTTAAAAGTATCGGTACTTAGTAACTTAGTCAGCCCGATGGGATTTAACTACCACTCTAGTAGAGTGACATTGTTGTGAAAAAGTTGTTTTATTGAGTTAACTAACAGAATAATATAGCATAAAGTAAATTTTTATGTGGATCTATATTTTATATAAAAAGTGCGCATTTTAAAAATAATCTTACATAGGAGAAAATTGTTCCGAAAAAAAAGCGATCATAGCTAAATTTTATCAATATAACATCGGGTTTCTGTTAGTTTCCCTCAACTTTCCGACTCGGATCAGATTCATGAAACTTAATTACTAGCTACGTAGTATCGACTTGTAATTGTTAACGATTGAAATATTGTATTACATTTTAACGATATGCAAAGATAATTGTATTGATTATCATACAAACCAATTAGGAAAACGTATTATTCTATATTGGTTACATTCTGAGTTACTATATGAACTTCCTTGAGTGCTCATCCTTTTATTTTTACAGAAAACAAGATAATGGGGCATACATTCATCATTATTGAAAATAGTAACCAGCCTATAGACATGAGCAATATCATAAATATTACAGATTCCTATTATACTAATAAATGCCAATGTTTGTAACGAAGAATAGCAGATTGTATAAATGATATTTGTTACTGTTTTACGCATAAACTACTTGATAAATTAAAATGAAATTTTGTACGCGATTAGATTACGTCCTAAATTAGTATACAAGATACATTATATACTAATTCATGCAGGTGAAGCCGCAGAACATAGCTAGTGTAATAATAAGGCACTGAGTCCATCTTTACTCAATGTACTGTAAGTAGTCAACAAAGTTCTTATAAACAAGGCGGCCTTATTGCGGAAAACAATATCTTCAAAGCAACCTTAGGATTAATAGCTACAAATATTAAACATTTCTGTTATTTATTAGCGTATTATATTGTACGAGTATATACCCAATAACAGCATTAAGTGTCCTAAAATAATAATTCTAAGAATAGCTGATACCGACTCAATTCAAAAAGTTTCTAATTTGCCTCGGAGGCCTTATTTATGTGCAAATTCACAAAGATTCTCTAGTCAATAACTCTATAATAAATTTCGATCTATTTAAGTTCTAGAACAGTTTGAATATCAATAAATCAGTTCTTTAGAAGTTTATACACTACACACACACACATATATATAATTTTCTTATTGTGTGAGGATTACGCCAACTAAGTTCAAATATGAAACCGTCTATTAAACCGCTACACTACTAATTCTTCAATTTGCTTCAAACAATAAAATACATTAAAATTAGGCCATAAAAAAGCTCAACAACTATTATTATCTTAATAATATTATTAATCCGAAAATTTGTTAGTTTTTCGTGCAAAAACTACTGAGTGAATTTAAATGAAATTTGCTACACGGTCAGGTTATAGTAGGTTTCTTTTTTAATAAATGATAACGGAATAATAATCCCGTTTGCGCTCACGTTATGCGCTGGCGGGACACCAGTGAGGGTTGATAGGTGAGGATGAAAGCATGTCAATTGGCCCATCGTGATGACTAGACCTGGAATTCAGCGCAATGATTTCTAGAGGTAACCACGTAGAGGTCGACCTGGTTGAATATATTGCTAGCAGTGGAGCCCTTAGTCTTAAGTGTCTTAGTAACTAACTATAACTAATTACTAACAATCCCTTCGCCCCCGATTATTATTGGTTTTTTTTTTTTGCTGGGTGAAAATGGTATGGTAACCCCGCCTGCGCTAACGAGATACGCTGGCGGAGCACCAGTGAATGGTGATAGATGAGAATGAAAACAGGCCAGTTAGCCCATCATGATGAATTCTTCAGGAATTAACCATGATAGTTTCCAGGGAGAACCGCGAGGAGGTCAACCTGGTTGGGTATATTGCTAGCAATAGGATTCTTAGTCTCTATTACTAACAATCCCTTTCCCCCCGATTATTATAAGTTAGGTAGGTTATATTTAACACATATGATACATGATAGATTATGTATTTATTCACGTGGACGGAACCGCGGGACTCAGTTATTATCCTTTGTAATTAAGTCTTGTTACGTAGTTCTAACTTTTTTTTATTCTACAAAGCAGAAGAATGTAGAATACTCTGTCATTTGTAAAAATATATGCACGAGTAGTTACGTACCTATATTATCATCTCTATTCTCGCTAGGTTAGAAATCGTAATATTTAGTTTATACATAATGGAATGTTACTTAGGAGTAAGAGACCTCCATAGGTTTTGGATACTTACACCCGTTAATAAATAAAATAACTTTCTATCCTTTAATATCAATACTATTTTTCTTTACCAGACATCAGCTTACAAAATACTTCACAAAACATTTGGTAATCACATTCAGTAGCTATTATAGAATTGAAGATTGTTGTTTAAATAGTAAATACAGTAATTAATAAAACTGAGTTGTCATCAGCTAAAGTATACATATATATCATCATCATGTCAGCTATTAACTATCCACTGCTGAATATAAGCCTTCCCCTATTGAGAAGTGTTGCCAGTAGTTGTCACACATGGCAGATGGATTGACAATTGCAGTTAGTCATTGACGGGGTTTTAAAGAAGGACGATGCTGCCCATTCCTCGACTTTTAAGTTCACTTAGGCGCCTCATACGATACTCCCTGGGAAGGAAGGGGTGATTTATTCTATACCGGAATCACATGGCACCTATATATGGTAGATAGATATATCATAATCTAAGCTACTACGAGTGGATAAGATACTTCTAAGCTAATTTAGTAAGTAAAAGGATATGATGGTAGAAGACATTATTATTGTGATACAAGTAACAGGAAAAAGTAGCAGAAAATCGGAATTAAAAAACATATATTTTTATCATTAAAAGGAATAAAAAAAAGGTGTATCATGCTCATAATTCACGTGAACATAGCTACAAATTAGAGGCAATATAACAATATTACGGAGGGAAAAAAAAACAAAGTCCTTAATTGTAAGTGATAAATTTTGAAATTCTTTATTAAAAAAAAAAAAAAAACTTTCACTCCAAAATCTCTCGTACATCAAACACGATCTACTTAAAATTGTTCCCAGATTGCCAAGTTTTGTATATTCATTCGCTGAATAGAGTTTTTACATTTCCTCGAACCTTCCGAGATCTCGTTGAACTGAGCGCCATTCACTGTTTGTTCTTAGTTTATAAGAAGTTCCTAATTCGTCTGTAATGTTTTGTGACAGTTTTGCGCGATTACGTCGCTAATTATTATCAATTCAGAGAATAATTACTTTTACAATAAATAAATCTAATGGTTTATTATCATTTGATATATCAAATATGAGATATATTTATTTTATGACGATTAACCCTACAGTTTCCTTCTACATTTTTTAACTCTCGATACAAAAA